CAGTGGGCTTCAGTTTTCATTAGGGAGCCTGAGAGTGGCCCTCTCTCTGTTGTTCACTTCTGCAACTCAGAACAATGGCCTCTATGTCCCCCTGTGCCTCTGTAGTGTGGAATCAGGTAGCTGCACAGCCAAGAGGCCAGAGGCAGTGGGGGGGACTGTTCTTACAGGCACCCAGGTGGGGAAGGTGGCTAGGGTGTCGTCAAGGTCTCCTGGATGCAAGGAGGGTGGGGCAAGATGCAAGGGTGGGGCAAACTGCAGGGAACAGGGCCCAGCCACCCACGTCTGACCACAAGGCCAAACTGGCAGCTGGTGTGCCTCCCCAGGGGGGAGCATTTCCTACTGGAGTTAATTTTAATATATGAATCATAGGCTATATTGCTTTATTCTTTAAATTGTTTCTTTACTTACTTGCCTAGGATTTTAATATAATTATGAGTAATATCATCTTTGCAATAAAATAAGCACATAGAGTAATGCTGCTATTTGGACATAGGAAAGTATGAAAGTTTCAAAAATCACTTATTAAAATGAAAGATCCCATAGATAATGTGAAATGGGAAGAAAAAGTTCAAAGGGGAAGAGGAAGTAGGAGGGGTAGGGTAAAGGAAAGAAGGGAAAGGAATAAATAAGAGAAAAGGAAAATGGAAACAAAGTCTTTGTAAATAGGGAAGGGTGAAGGGCAGGGGAATGGGGAAAAAATAAGAATCAAGATATATTGTGTAAAGGTACAAATTCTGAATAGTTAGTGTCATCTCATCATATTGTATACCTAAAATGTACCAGTAAAATTAATGAATAAAAAAGAAAGATCCCGAGTAATCATAATGAATGAAGGAAAAGCAAAGAAGAAAATCTAAATTACTTTTTCTAGATCTCAGTTAATCTGTTGGTGAGTAATGGAATGAATTCCATTTGGATTTTTTCTACATATACCCAGAAGATCATATTGTTGGAAGTTCATCAGAAGAACCCAAATATTTTATCTGACTTCACATGAAAAATTAAATCATGGCATCTGTTCATATTACTTAGGCCAAAATAATTCTTAACCAAATCCCTGCTATCATCATTATAATAATCATTCCTATCAAGAAGGGCTCTTAATAAGTAATAAAATAGATATTTTTTGGATTCTATTTAGGGATAGTTTTTGTGGCATATTTTATTTTAGTGAATAGTTCCATTTGCTATATAAAAATTCAGTTTCATTTGAAAGAGAATTTTTAAATTTAGCTTTATCTAAAACTGACATAATAGTCAATATATTTTGGGCCAATGTGAATTTAAACAGAAATATTTCAATATTATCCAAGAAAGGAGGTTCACAAAATCTACAGCAAATTTAATTATTCCTGTATTTCCCAAAGTGGGCAGTATGTACAAAAATCCTTCACAGTATCGATAGATGTTGAACATAAGGAATTTGAAAAAGACTGTGTAAAAAGTTTTTGCCCTGATATCTCAGAACCTCAAATATCCAGACATGTTTTCAATCTATGTATTAATTATGAAGAAGTGCACATTGAAATACTGCCCCAAAATGAGAGGGCTAACCAGGCAGAGGAAAAATTATGAGCCAAAAGGAGCAGGTGGGAAAGCATAAGTCACTTTGGAAAAACTGTAGGGAAATTCTGGAGTTCCAGGAGATAAATCTGGAATTAGAGGCAAAAACCAGATTTTAGAAGTCTTGAATGACTAGCTAAATAGTTGAAGCCTTTTAAAAAAGTCAGTCATCTATTACTGAAGATTTTTAGTAGGGGAGTGGTGGTATAAATGTGGCACTTTGGAAAGATTAATCTGTATATAATAAGGTTGGAATAGGGGAAATACTGAAGGTAGAGTGTCCAGTTAGACTTCCCCAATAATGCCTTAACTGTAAGATGAAATGAGAGTGATAAAGATGGAAATCAGTGAAGAAATGAGTACAAGATACATTGAAAATGAGGAAGAGAAGGAATGGGGTATGGCTTTGTAGGTTTCTAAAGTTATCTCGAAGTCATAGATGGTGGCTTTAGCAATGATAGTGAGTCCTTTGCTCCTCTATGGAACATGCCTTGTTACTGTCCCATATCTTAGTGTAGGTTTTCTCCCATGTAGGACCTATTCTTCACCACATGGCTAATTTCTCTTCACTCTTTTAGAATTCAGATCATTTGCTTCTCTTCTCTCTGAAGTTACTTTTGCATGCTCTCTCTTAAGTGTTCTGAGTATAAAATTGTACAACATTTAATGTATTATAAGTTCTATTGACTTGTCTGTTTCAACAATTTTGTAACTTTGTGAGGTTTAAGACTAAGTTCATCCATTTCTACAACTAACACAGTAGAACACATGGGAACTCAGACACTGTTTGATGAAGGACTGTGTCCAGGAAAGGCAGAGCATCAGTCTAAATATGAAGAGAAGTGAACATGTAGATGGAGTAGGACTGAACAAAAAGTTGTCTGATCAACCTGTTGTAAAGCCAGTGGACATGAGATTAAGGAAAGTGATAAAAAGCCAATTGATTAAGCAGAATTCCAGGTAACAAGGGATGCTATACCATGTAGACCTGGTGTGGATAATTTGCCCCTGGTAGTTCAAAACCTACCACAGTCTTCACAAGGTTCCTACTGTTTTGTATTTCCTCACCTGAACTTCTTATGTTTCTCCAATGAAGAATGATATCCCATCTTTAGACTATTTCAGCATAGATTGTTATGTATGTGCAAATAACAATGAAAACATAGATCAAGATAAAATATCACTATCCCATGCTACCTTTCTGCATTTTTAATTTCTATTAATCCCTAGAATACTTTTTTCATAAAGTGTACCCTGAAGATCACCTGCACAAAATCTCTTAGGGAGTAGTGTTTATGAAAATTTTATCATTGTCGACATTTACTAATAAATGAGGGCATTATAGAATTAGGGACATCATTTTTCAATTCTAAATGAAGTAATTTACTTCAGCAAATGATCATCAATTGTAAGAAAACCATAAAAAATAGGTACTTGATGATTAGATCAATCTGATAGTATGTCAACACACTGATTAAATTTAAGGTTATATGAAGACAGACAACCTTACGTCATCTACCTTATTATGGTAGGACATAGCACTCTTTCTAAGATATTTTTGCCTAGAAAAAACCAGAAATCTGAATTTGACTGAATGTCTACCTATAGCCATCAGCTCCAAGGAAACTTGGAAAGTGAAAAAGGATAAAACGGAAAATCTTCAAAATCTTGAATGTGACAATTAGATTTCAAGGAGTAAAATTTTAAAGGGGGAAACTCTATAGACTAAAATACATTAAAAGAAATTTAAAGAGATGTCAATATGTCCACAGTTCAGATGTTTTGGGATATTGATTTCAAGGAACATGAATTTATAAACCATTTATGAGGCAATGAGAGAAACAAGATTATCCATTGATATTCAGGAATTAGTATTAATTTTAAGTATAATAATAGTTATGGTTTTAAGCATCATTATATATATATATATAATGAAATGCTTTGAAATGAAATGTGATGTATGAAATTTGTTTCAAAATAATGCAGCAGTAGCAGAAGTAGGATTGTATGTTAGTGGTATAACTGAAATGAGATAATTATTGCACTTGGGTGATAAACATATAGCTCATTTTCATATGCTTTAAAATTTCTTGTTTTATTATTTCAAAATATAATTAATTGGGCCATATCTCAGAATTATTGAATTAGAATGCCTGAGTAGTTTCTAGGTATTTGTATTATCAACATTTTCCAAGGTGATTACTGCTTACACCAAGACTTGGTAATTACAGTCCTAAAGTGATTTATTCCATTGATGTTGCCCTTGTCAGAAAAATGCAGCAAAATGCATATATATCTTCTCTTTAAGGATAGATGCTGTGTCTTCAGTAGCCACATATTTTCTAAAACCATGTATTCAGTATTCACTTGATACATATAAATGATGTTAGATGAAATATTTTTGTTCACTGTGAATAAATATTTTAGATACAAAGTACACAGGATTTACCTACAGAATCCAACATGTTGGGTCCACTTGGCATCAGAAATATGTACTTTCTCACAACTCTGAGTGATAATCTTGTTCCATAGAACTACTCAGTAATATTTAACACTCCTAATTCCTATACTGTCAGTCTCCATACCTCAAACAGCAAATTTAAAATCTAACAGTATGTGAACAACAGATTCCTCCTTTACAGACAAAAGGAAGTGATATTGGCAGCCATGTATAGAATATCCACACTGAAGACATACATACTGTCATATCTCAGTTCACAAAAAATTCTTTTCACAAACAATTCACAAACAGAATCACATGGCAAAATTTTGCTTCCTTTCACCAACTCTGCATTGGGTGGTGAAAACAACTAGGGCCATCTTCCCAAGAATCATGAAATGAATTAAGTTTGTAAATTGAAGTACTACTATATATGAATTGAATTGTTTTAAAAAATTAACTGAAATGTTCCCATCTACCATTACCCCTTAATTTTGCCATTTATGAAGTAAAACTTTCATTTTTTAGGAGGATATACTTACCAAAATGTAACTTTTATTTTAAGAATTGTTTTACCAAATGTCTAGTATTCCCTATACCTTGGAATCCTTGAGAAAACAGAAATGATTATAAAAAATTATATCCTAGTTCTAACTAAGCCTTCTAGTTTTACTACTACTTTTTTAGGAGATTTTGAATATGACACTATTTTTACTGGTTCTTGGTTTCCCCATATATAAAAATATAATTCTACAGCAACTAAGTCATACTATGCTGAAATTATTTTTAAGTTTACTTCTAATTTTATGGTACTTGTAGGGAAAAATGGCTTCATCTGATATTTAAACAGAAAAACATGTTTTAAGGAAAAAAACAGAAAAGACATAAATGATCCCACTTCAAACCCTTAAATAACAATAAATAAGGCCAAATTCATACAGTTCTGTTCTAAAGATATAAATGTAGGCATAGGAAGGATTGTCACACTTTGGTTTACCTGCTTATGAGCATGATCATAAGAATTAATATGATTGTCAAACTCCTGATGTTTGTGATACTGCTTGTCGCATAATTCACAGTAGAAGTTTGCCTTTACATCTTCCAGAGCCTTTGCTGTAGACTTCTCCTTTTCTGTGAAATCCTTTAAAAAAAGGCAAAGACATTGGTTACATTTCTGTCTAAGAGCATAAGTCACTCTCATGTTAATCAGGTTGGAATGTAAATTGACTTGGACTAAAAGAATAGGTTGAGTTTCATTATTCTCTGTAAATACTTTGGCACTGAGGAAGTAACTTACACTTTAGCATCATCCCTAATTTATCAGAAAACATGTAGATTTTCCCAAATTATCCCACTGGTTACTGTTATAGCTTGATCATTTACTCATACTTCCTCTTGCATTCCATTTCCATGTTGTGATTCTATCTATTAATAACCCTCTATTTTCTGGACATTCCTACTTCAATTCCCTCATGCTTCCTTCCTATTTTACAATTTCCTGTGGTATCACCCATTAGTTTCAACTCCCTTCATCTGGTAAACTAACCTACTCCATTTCTCTCCACGGATGACCCCTTCACCGGGTGTATCTGTAACTTCCAGCTCCAGCCCAAGCTCCCTGCACATTCATCAGTGTTCTTCACAATCATTATCCTTACAATTGTAGGATGCACGGTCTCAGTTTTGGCTATATTATTCCTCTACATAAAACACTCTTGCGTTTTCTCATTACCTATAAAGTAACCGTGAAAAATATTTACTGAGTATAAACTGTGTGACAGGTACGTGAGTTACCTTATTTATTTCTCAGAATAAATCCAAGAGTTAGGCTCTATCTATATCTACCTTTTACTGATGCATCAGGCAATGCTTGGAGAGGCCTCATATTCATAGTCGTGAAGTTAGTAAATGGAACAGGGATTTGGATCAAGCAAACTATGCTCAGGTCCCTTTTTGCGAAACAGCTGAAATCTGCCATCTCCCTTTAAATCACCTTGCTTAATATGCCTTAAAACTTCTTCTTATCCTACCATCATCATCTTTTATCAAATCCTACTTCAATTCTATCCTCTTTAATTCTATACACCAATTGGTGTTAATTTTTTTTAATACTTATTGCTTTCAAAGTATTTAAAAAAGAAAGCATTTTGTTTGTCGTCACAATGCTAAATGATGCACTGTCTTGCCCAGAACAGATAGTATTTAATACACATTATAGAACTTCATAGGTAATGGCGGCTTACAGACCCATGCCTCCTATAACCCTGTATTTCTTTTCTATTATCTCAGAGTCAAGTAAATGAGTGATGGCACATATGCAATACCACATATGTAAGTACAAAGAATGAATGAAAAGATTAAAGGGTAGATCTTAAGTGTTTCTCTAAAGTGTCTAGCTTTCTATTTCAAGGAAGCATACCACAAGCCTATGTCACATAATCATCAGTGACAGATCAAAAATGTAGCCACCAAGAATTTAGGTAGATTTTCTCAAGGCAAGTGGAGTGATGGGACAATTAATTCATACATGAAAAGATAATGATACAAGCCCAAATATAAAAGGGAAAACTAAATGGCAACAAGAAAGAGGGATAAAAATACCATTAACAAGCTGAAAACTGGAAGCAAATATCTGGGTTGCCTATCTACGAGAGTAGAAGTAAGCATTTGGCTGCATTCTGAGATAACGGGGTGTACAAGAGCTATGGGCCAAGATGTATGCAATAATGAGAGTGTAGACTGATTTCAGCATTAAAACCCAGTAGCTTAAAGAACTAAGATAATAGGGAGTTTGTGTAGCCCCTGTTGAGAAATGAAATAGGAGGGTAGCAATGAAATATTGCTAAATCTTTTTAATAGGATTAGTATCCAGGCAAAGCACGATTTCCCATCTACTCTTTTCTACAAGTTTTTCCTCTTTTCACTTTTTAAATATAATTTCAGGGAAAGAAGCAAGAATTCAGGGTGGTTTGAAGGCAAAGGTGTGTGTTTCTTTAATTTTGATTATGTACAGGATTGTACTACAATAGCTAAAAATCCAATTAGAATTCTCTAGTCATTCTTAATACATTCATCTTAATATATAGATCTACATATTTCCAAAACAATGTTTAGTTATCATACTGCATGACTTTCATTTCAAAATGTTAAGAGATATTTACTAATATTTATTTGGCATTTTTTGTGAATACTCATATTTCATAAGATTGTAACATTAAATTATGTATCACATTTTTGTGTGCATATGTAGTACTGAAGTTTGAACCTAGGGCTTTCCCACTAAGCTACAGCCCCAGTCATCTTTATTTTTTATTTTTTTAATTTTCACATTGAATTTCACTAACTTGTGCTCCTCTCCCCTCAGCCTTCCAGAGTGCTTTACAGCATGCCCCACCATATCACATTTCACATTTCACATTCACATCACATTTTTTGCCTCATTTTTCTTGCCAATAAATGGAGCATCATTTCCCATCTTCCTTTCCTCTGTGGCACTAATGACTTCCCCTAGGGCATGCCCTGATCCCATCATTAGGAGAGGAAAGGAAGATAAGTTTAATATAAATGCCACCAGCAAAAGATACAAACATAGCTCACAGTCTAGTGTGTTTGGCAAAGACAGAGATAATAAGATAAACTTAATAGCAGTTGAGTATTAAGGTACAGAAAAACAGAGGCAGGAGGACAGAAATCACAGGGACATCAACAAAAAAGCAAGGAAATGGATAGAGTCAGGAGAATCATACAAAGGAAAGGAAAGAGGGTGAGGGGCAAGAGAGGAAGAAGGAGGGAATGAACCTAAGGATAATTTCGGCAAAACTTAAAAGCTGAGGTAAGACCTAGATAGTAGATAGAGAGACTGTCTTTTTTTTGTAGGGGAACCTTAAACCAAAGGCCATGGCACTGCCAAACATGATGTAAGCTTGTTCTAAAGTGTAAAACTGGGATGATCCACTCAGGTGAAGCTGAGTGAGTGCAGAGAAGAGTAGAAGACAAAAACCTTAGGCTAGTAGGATAAGCATCATGTAAATTCAACTTGTCATTTACCAGAAGCGATCATTAATATTTACTAATTTAGGGCCGGGGATTTAGCTCAGTGGTTTCACCCCCTGATGCACAAGAGCAAGGACCTGAGTTAGATCCCCGGTGCCAAAAAAAAAAAAAAAAAAATTTACTAGTTTTGTAATTTATATCAACTTAAATTACTAGATAACAACAGTGAGAGCACATTTTTAATTGGTTAATGCTGCTTCATTCATCCAATCATTAATCCACCCATCTAACCATCTATTCATCCAAATAAACAGTAAGTATTCTTAATCCAAAAATAGCTTATTGAACAACTTCTAAATGACAACTCTTTACTGGTTCTTACCCTCAGAAGTTTATGGTATACTAGAATAGAATATTGAATTGCATGTGAAAACTAAAAACATATATGTGATACAATGACGCTTACAAGTTGCTAAACAGTAGCTATCTAGTTCTGATTACTTAAGAATAATTGGCAGGAAAAGTCTCTATCTATCTCTCTATATATCTATATCTATATCTATATATATCTATATCTACCTATCTATATATGTAGATAGATATATGGGGGCATGTGTGTAAATTACATTGTAACTCTAAACATGTAATATTTAATATTTTTTGGCTTTTTTGTGGTTGTTGTTGAATACATTTACTGATCAAATATCCTGAAGGTAAATTAAGATGCCATTTAATTTCTGAAATAAAATGTATTTGAAGATATACAATAAATACGAAAGAAATAAAAATAGCCACATACTCTCAGCATCAGTAAATTATAAAAATAAAAATATATAACAGTGACAGAAAAGATAAAATCCTTCATTGATTTATCAGGTATTCAAAGTTTTCTTTTCCCACTTTTCCTAGTGGAAGATGTTTTTGAAAACTTATTTAGCAGAATAAAACATCAATGAAATAAAGGAAAGTTTCTTGTTAACCATTCTCAATGATTCATTAAAAGGTTGGAAACGAATTTCAAATTGAAAATGAAAGTCATCTTAATGAGTCATTTTGAAATTATTAGCTAATGTCAATGAGCATTTTATGTTGTCATCCAGTACAAATTATTTATAATTAGTCACTTTTTTATAATCAGTGTGGGTATAAGGCCAGAATATGCACCTTTACATACAAAGAATTTTTTCTTCATCTATATAATAGATGTAGCTATGAAATGGCAAGTCTTCTGATTAGAGTAAGACATTCAATTAAAAATATGGATGTTTAGTATCAATTACTTTTATGATCATAATGATTACGGCATTTTAATACTCACTCACCCTGCATTGTAAATCAGAAATACACTTCCTACTTGTTAAGTTAATCTCCACTATGATCACTCCATTTAGAAACCTGGAAAGTGAGGCACAGACTGCTTTCCAGCTCAGACACTGTGGAGGAGGCTGATTGATCATGGAGGTTCTGCTCACCATGATCACAGCTTCCCCAGTGTTCAGCTCTAACCAGATGCCAGACGCCACATACAGACGGTCTGTTTCCACCAACACAAGGGGAGCCAGGCAGGTACAGATCCCTCAACTCCCAGAGAGAGTGAGAGGACTAACTGTAATTTAAAAATCTACAGTGCCTTTGAAACTGAAAGATGGACACTAGGAAAAGATGAGGTAGTAATCTTGTTCTGCTTGTTGTTAATAAGTGTCCTGATTATAAAAGAAAAAAGAAATTAATGTTTTTTTATATCTCACTGATGTTAGTATTAGTGCAGAACTTTGAATACTGAATTAATATTCTTGGCATGAAAACTCACATTTGATCTTTCATTATTATATGGAATAAATTGCTTTAAAGATTGCAATATTCTCTAACTGATCTATTCTATTGGTCCTCAATAAAACCCTGCTTCGATGATAGTGCACTTTCTTCTTCTTCAGTCAAATATGTTTCTGAGTCAAGAGAACTCCTGCATATTTGTAAAAGATTGGATAATGTACATTTTACTTTAAAGGGTTTTATTCCCTTATTTTTATAATAGAATATAATTTAGCCTTTAAAGACAGAGTAGCTTGAATATTAGCCTCTGTCCTTAAGTTTAAGCACTAAAGGTTGCAATTGTCTCAGTATAAATTGAAGGATAATAATAAGTAATTTAAAGGATGATAAGAAAATGTGAGATAACATTCACAAAAGTACAGAGTGTTCTGCACTGAAAATGCAGGTGATGAGGGCTCAAAAATTCCACCCCAAAATTTGACTGGAAAAGATAAGAATATGCCACCTCAAATGTGTTTCTTTGGCATAAGAATTGAGCATCTCATTTTGAGAAACTGATGATAAAGAGAAGCTGTAAAATCCTTTCTTAAGACAAATTTTTATATCAATAAAGGAAATTTCTGTTTGTAAAGGTGTCAACATTCCTGGACTAGAAGTAAAAACCTGACTCTAAATCACTAGAGACTCTGAACCAGTGAGAAGGCAAGATGGACTCCTACAAAACAACTCTTTCCTTATTTCAGTGTTTTTTTAGATCTTAACCACACCTCTCCCCACACACACACCTTCCTTTGCTTCAGATATAGCATTTATAACTGAAGTTTAAGGCAACTTCTCCAGATCTACTTCAGAAAAACTTCCCCCTTTTCCAAATTATATCCCT